TATCACCACTGATCTCATCAGAAAGTCTTTAAGTATTGGGAAGCCAGAAAACTTATGAGGTAGATAAAGTTTTCCAAAATTCTGATTTTCACTTGAAAGCTTGAATTTTATTGCTGACAACAGGTGCTGTATCTTTTCTGAAGTGGCAATCTCACTTTACTCATTTTTTGAGAAAACATATCCAAACATCCAAGTCAATTATTATAGTTTGTTGGCTGTTCTTTCAAGTAAATGTAGGATGCAGTGAGTGAAGTGGGTAGTTCAGCTTGCAACTCAGATAATAGCAGAAGCATTTTTACTTGAGACAAAAATTTCTTTGGAATACTGCAAAAATGCTTTATCTGTACATCTTATTTTGTCATGCAGAATATCACAAAGAGGTGTACTCATGGATCAAAGGGCTGAGGTTTACTAAAATTCAAATTTTTTTTGGCTTTTTAAAATTGCAAGTGTGTGGCAGAAAAGAATGCAGTGACTGCTACACTAGTTTGGTCCCACTGTCTTGATTCATGCTCAGGTATAAAACAACGCCAAAAACCTTAAAAAGTCAATAGCAAAGAAAGAAATAGAATTACTGAATTACCAGCTTGCCATGGTAACTATACAGTTCTGTAAATAATTTCATGCATCTGTGTCATTTACCTTGAGTAAAAATTAATTCACAAATACTTGAACGTGTTGATGCCCCTAAAATATGAAAAGGTTAATAAAGGATATTCACCTGTCGTACAGTGGCTGTGCCTATTTGACAGGGTAAAAATATTTCTGAGCAAAAATTTAGCATCTTTAGAAGTATCTCCTTCAGGAAAATTCTTTGTACCTTCTTACTGGAATATTCTTAGTCTAACTCTTTTCCATTTATGTGTCTCAGCTTAAATCTTTCTCTGAGAGACACTGTCTGTCTTTTCCTGGCAAGTGGGTCTCCTATGTTTATACTCTTATAAACACACTATAATTGTTTTCACAACATGTATAAATTCTTCATATCACTTTTAATAGCTTTCCATAACACATTTATGAGACCGATCATTTTATTAGTGCCTTCCTACATTAGATAGTAAGGAATATAAAGGCAGAAATACAGTTGACGTTTCGTATGTTGGACTTTTATCCAGCAACTTGGCTGAATTCTTCTATCGATTCTAGTATTGGTAGATTCATTCGGATTTTCCACGTGTAAAGTCCTGTCATCTGAAAAAACGACAGCTTTACTTGTCCTTTCCAATTTTCATACTTTTTAGTTCATTAAATTTTAACACCTAGGGCTTCCACTACAATGCTGAATGGGTTAGAACAGTATACATGATTTGTTTCTGATTCCAGAGGAAAAGTTGTTAATTTTTCACTTTAAGTATAATATTTGTTGTATTTTTTGCAAATACTTGTCATATTAAGAAAGTTCACTTCTATTTTTAGTTTGCTAAGATTTTGTATTACAATGAATATTGTATCCTATGAAATGTTGCTTAGATATTCATGATTTTTTTTCTTGTGTATTCTGTTAATGTGTTGTGTTGGGGCTCACGGCAGGCCACCCCAAAATATCCCACAATGTCGTACTGATTATTTTGAATTAAAGTTACTTGAGAAGCAGAAAGGGTATCCTGACTCTCCTCTCTCTGTTCTCCTTGACTCAGGAAATAAACCTCCCATGGAAGGTGCTTTCCTTGCATCCTTATCCCCAGAGCTGGGGGATTCGGGGCTGAGAAGCTGCATAAACAAACCCTTCTAATTTACTATCTCAAACCTGAACTCTGCTTCAATTCCTCACTGATTGCATACCTCCAATCTAAGAGTCTTTGTCCTGTCATCCCTCACAAATTTATTTTTCCTTTGTGTAGAAGATGTATATATTGCCTTCTCTGTTCACTCTGTGAGCGTCATTTTGATGATTCTCCTATGCATGCATAATTAAATTAAATCTCTTTAATTTAGTCTTGTGTCAATTTTATTATTAGTGTAGCCATAAGAACACAAGAAGGGTATAAAGGGGATTTTCCCAGTCCTGAGAGTTGAATAATATTCGTGGAACAGTATTCCTGGTATAATCTCAACTAGGCTAGGCTTTACTATCTTTTAAAATTATCACTGTATTCAATTTGTTGATATTTTGCTCGGGATTTTTGCATCTATATTCAGCGATATTGGCTTTTCCTTTAATTTTCCTTTCTTGTAATATCTTTGCCAGGTGTTGATATCAAGGCTATGTTGGCCTCAAAAAACTAGCTGGAACATATATATTACTTTTGTATTTTCTGGAACTATTTGATTTTATTTATTTGTTAAAAGTTTTTTAGAATTCATCATTAAGCCCATTTTGGCCAGGAGTTTCTTTGTGGAGACATTCTTACATATTAGTTAAATTTTTAAAAATACTTAGAACAATTCAAATTTTCTATTTCTTCTTGTGTCATTTTGGTAATTTTTACTTTTACAGTTATTTGTTCATCCCACCTAAATTTTCAAGCTTATTGGCATGAAATTTTTCTTAACATAATCTTTCTGTATTTTTCTATCTGTAGCATCTGTGTGAAGTCTCCTCTTTCATTCCCGATATTATTTATTTCTGCCTTATCTCTTTTTCTTCTTGATGGATGTTTTGCCAAGTTTATTAGATATAGCTTTTCCAAGTTTTATTAGATTTTCAAATAACTAAATTTTGGCATTATTATTCTATTTCAAGAGATATTTTTTCCTTTAATTATATACTTCTACTTATTTTGGGTGTAACTTGCTCATTTCTTCTCACTTCTTGAGATGGATCCTTAGCTCATTGCTTTTTAAAGCAATACATTTGTTTCTAATTAGTTTTATCTGTCCCTTTTTAATCTACCACCTGAAAAATCCCTAAGATAATCAACTGAAAAAGGATAGCTCAGTAAAGTATCTAATTATTGAGGAAAAAGGGAAAAATAATTTTCCTATACTGCCACAATGACCAGTCAAATCAAATTATAGAAAAAAAAAATCCTAAACACATTAGATACAGAAATGTTATTACATATGTACAAGTAACATAAAAAGAAATATCACATATCTTGGAAAAGTCTTATCCTAGAACAAGTAGGATTGTATGAAAAAAAATCTTTAGAGGCCTGAGAATAATATAAAGGATTCAATTATCAGGTTAGACTTAAAAGAATCAGATTTTACCTAATATCAAACCGAACTAAAAATTTGAAGTACAGGTAATTGTAAAACAGAGAAATGTGGAGGAGTCTGAAATCACTAGCACAGCTCCCAGAAGAGATTTAGGTCACATCCATGGCCTCCTGATGCTCCGTTTACCTTTCTTGTAGGCATTTATTAACCTCTTGTAATGTCATTTTGAATTTTGTATGACTGAAATATTTAGACTATACATATTGCATTATTGCTAGTTTTACTATATCAATATAATGAAGATTATTTTCTACTATTTCCTGAGGACATAGGACATAACTTGATCAAACATTTAATCAATTAATGTGTATGACCATCTATTTCTCTTGCTTTTGGTGGTCTGGCATCTCCTTGTTGGCCTCAATGGCTTAAAACATTCTGAATTCTTTGGTTGGCTTAAGATTTCCAACACAACAGCAGGAATTCCAGGAACCTCCTCCCTTCAGCAAATATGACAAATTGGGGCCTGAAGAATACTGGGTCCATGCGGACTTACTCTACACATTTCTGCCACAAAGTCTCTACCTTGCCGTCCAGTCCACCGACCCTCTTGTCTCTAGAAGATAAGAACTTTACTCCATTTGCATTTGAGAATCAGGGCTGGGCGGAGGAAAGCATCCAATTGTTTCATAACTGAATTCTCATCATTGCTGAGTTTTAAGGTACTTCCTATTGTCATTTATTTACAGAAGTAACTAGGGATAGAGTTTTAAGTGTGGCTCTAGGTCTCTGTGGACAGAATGGCTGAGGTTCTGTGAAAGTGAAGGAAGGGGAAATAGATTTTGGTTTTTAATTTTAGCATTGTAGGTTATACTAGGGTATCTTCTTTCTGAATACATCAGATACGTAAGTTGTACTATTAAATTTTAATATTGTGAATTTTAGATAGATTAAAAAACTTCCAGCTTTACTAGTTATGAGTGGTTGGACAAATTATATAAATTCGTTCAGCTGCAATTTCCTTATGTTATAAATGAGGGATAATATTGTTTATTTCACATGGTTAATGTTAGTGAGATATGTGTGTATAGTGTTTAGCAGAGTAGTCAGCACATTTAAGCAAATATATGTTAGATGTTAATGTGATGATTTGCTATTGTTATGACTGTTCCACATAATGCTTATCTCATATTTAACTTTATTTTTTTATCTTCCCATGTACATATGTATATAATTAAAGTTAACTGATTATGATCATTTGAATTTTTATCATCTCTCTACCATTTTTCCCTTAAAGATGGACAACATTTGTTAGATTACTTGCCCTTGGGTTTTCAGTGATCTATTAATAGGAATGTTTGGAGGCAGAAAATGAGTGGGAAATGGTCATTCATTCACATATCTCTTGGAGATTTAGGTGTATAACATACTGTAGCACAAGAATAAAGTATGGTGGTTGCTTCAAGACGCTCAGAATTTACTAGTTGGAAACATAAGTTTAAAAAAAGCACTTTTGTCATTGGTGCTGAAAAAACACTGAAAAACAGGTGTATGGGTGTAAAGAGAAGGTTGTTAACCTTTGACTTAAAATATTTCCTTAAATTACATACACCTAATTTATTATGAAAGATGTCTTAAGCACGTAGGACAATACTTATAATCAAAGTCTGTATACAGAAAATATTTTATGTATGCTAAATTTTAGATTTAACAATGATGTATTTAACTGTGCTACTGATGATTGAAAGAAAAACTAAGGCATTGAAAAAGAATAAATTATTAAAAGGCCAAATTATCTCAGAACAGTACATTTCTACTCTTGACAATGAAATAAAATTTCATGTCAGTAACTTTTGTATAATATGCAACACCATAAAATATTATGTTTCCTTGTTCAGAAAACCTACTGAAGGCACAGAAGAAAGTCAAGCCCAACAGCCTGCTGAAGACTCTCACAATGTAGCTGTCTACATTAAAAAAGCACGTGGTGGCCATACTTTATATGGACCAAAAAAATCGGAAGAGAATTTCGTAGAATTCCTGGCTATCTTAAAGAAATTGTAAGTATTTTTAGTATATTACTTCTTGTAGTTGAAACAGTCCTTTGAATAGCTTTCCTTTTCGAGTTAGTTGTTTGAAGCTAAGTGTACGTTAGCTGTAATTTAGCACTAAAGGTTGATTCAAGACAGCAGGAAATACTGAAGACTTTGTTTCTAGATGAATGCAATCTCTGTCCACTCAATTTTCATGGCATATCATAGATATATTGGTAATATATCCAATTGTGGCACATCATTTTAATTTTAACAAATAAGCAAAATAAATGTTATTACTGATTATGTTAAATCAAAATTATGTTTAAGATTTCATTAGCTTATGGTTACTTGTTAGTTCTTCACAGAATTTAAACTGTCTTCGTCATCACAGAGCCTTTAAATAAACTTACTTCATATTCTTTTTAATCTCCTGGAGTGCTTTGTGTTTTGATTAGGGCATGATTGCCTGAAGGAGAAGGAAAAAGAGAGGATTAAATCTGGGTGGAGGCTGGTTACCCAAGATGGTATTGGACTTATGAATAAAATTGTAGTTGAAAGGGGACCATGGGAAAATGTGATACTGCAACTGAGATTGACAACAGAGACAAAACCAAGAGCAAAAGTGTCAAGATTAGAATTACACCTGAAAGACAGACCAGTAGTGTGGAATGAGAAATTAAAAATCTGGCATTTATATTTGGAGGAAAACACCAGGAATTCTATCCTATAAACACTTTTCTTCAAAATTGTAATTGCAAATTTGAGGAAATATAGTCAAAGCTTCCAGAAAATTTGAGAATGGTTAGATTTCTGATGCTTTTACTTATAATAATGAAAAAATAAATACAGAAAATACTAGTCATTTTATAGGGAAACAGCTATGAAAGTCTTGTAGAGAAGGAAATCATAACCACCTGCCATGTAGGGGTATAATTAAACTGGTAAGCTGTAAAAATAGGAAATTTAACTAGCATGTGTTCAGTGAATGTGTTAAAAATATACTTTAACTGGTAGAAAACACAAGAGCATTGAAAGTTATTGGAGCTATAGTATTCTATAGCTACTTTCATTCCATTAAACCATATTGTTGATTAAAATTACATTGGATTAAAAATTTCAAGTCTAGAAACCCATGAATCACTCACTGCTGATTTCAGATTGTGCTGGGCTGCAGGATTTTTAATGGTGGTAGTAATCCCTGTCTTTCAGAAAATAACAAGGTGGCGGTATCCAGATAACAAAGGTTCTGATCTGAGATGGAGGAGGAGAGCAAGTGGCTATGGTTCTTGGGCAAGATGTCAAAATACTGGGAGGTAGATATAGGTTGAAGTCAGATGGAAACTACAAATGGATAAAAGCCCAGTCCCATGTTAGCAATGGATGAAGCAAAAAGCAGGAGCCATGCTAGAAGGCTATCCAACACAGGGGAGAATAGACAAAGAAGTCACTGCTGCATCCTTACATGGATCTCCATGGATTCCTTTTAACAACCAGGCTCCAAATGCCCTGGACACCAGATGTTGGGACAAAGGCAGTTTCCAGAACCTCACTCACATGTGAGAGGAAGGGTGGGTGGGTGGAAGAGATCCTGAAGGACTGCAGCTCCCACACTCAGTGGGTCAGAATTGGCCTAGTATGACTCTTCACATGGCGGGTCTTGACTGCTGTCAAGGGGTGGGGCTGTGACAACCACTGAATTACAATAGCAGAGAAAACGGGAAGGGAATTTACTTTTACGGGATGTTTAATATTCACACAAAGCCTTAGTTTCTACACATAAAACTTCTGATTTAATCCTTACATCAATGCTTTGAGGTAGATATGATAAGCTAGTAAGTAAAAGAGTAATTTAGCAATATGCTAAATTTACAGTCTATTTTGTTCTACAGAACATGCTTTGTATCTTCTTGTCTCCTTGGTACACTAGTGTATTCATTTTCTGTTGCTGTGCAATGGATCATAAATGTGATGTCTTAAAACAACATACGTACATTATCTCTCTGGGCAAGGTTTAGCTGGGTCCTCTGCTCCGTGTCCCACAAAGCTTCAATCATGCTACGTTCCTTTCTGGAGCATGAGGTTGTCTTCCAAGCTCATGTGTGCTGTTGGCAGAATTCAGTTCCTGTGGCTGTAGGACTGAGGTCCCTACTCTCTTTCTGGCTTTCCGTTGGGGGCCCCTCTCAGCTCTTAGAGGCTCCACAGATCCTTGCTGCATGGTGCTCTCTCAGATATCTTTACAACATGGAAGCTTAAATCTTCAAAGTCAGCTAGGGAGCCTCTCTCTCTCTCTCTCTCATTCTGCTAAGATGAAGACATATGTAACCTAATCAAGGGCATGTATATCCCATCACCTTTGCCATATTCTGTTGGTTAGAAACAAATCATTTATTTTGCCCCCACCTCTAAAAACTCAGAAGAGTTTTAAGGTGTGCTAGCCATATTTGGTAACATTATAAACCTCTTCGTGACTCTGTTAATTACATTTGTAATGGGGCTGTATGCTTTATGTACTTGCACAAAAGTAATTCAACTAAAATCTGTTTAGTGACGGGTAAATTGTCACATCTGTAGCCCTCTGTTTATCTCTAACTGAACGAAGATCAGATCAGATCAGCTGCTTCAGTGATGTGATTTAATGAATTGTTAAAAGTAACAACCTTATTCTCTCTAAAATTCTTCACTTTTTCATCCTACTTGAAATTCAAACACACAGAAATTAATTTTGAGTAACAGTGACCTCTTTTTAAAGAAATGCAAATATGCCTGACAAGAAGCTATTGATTATTGACAAGTTGGTGTGATTTGGTTTAATCCTATTGATTACTTCTTAACTTCTACTTCAATTCAGCAACTCTGAGTAAACAGTGCTAGATGGGAGTAAACATAAATTATTTTGAAACATTAAAATCATTGGAAAGGGCACACATCTGGGAGATGTCACCAGAGAGGAGGGGTTTGAGTAACTAGAGGACATTGTGTAATTGGGAAGTGTGTGAGGAGAACAGACAGTGGGAAGGAGAGATGAGAGATAGAATAAAGAGAGTTGGGAAGACTTCCCGTTGGTATTGCATTTTAAGCATATCAGATTGAATATGACCTTATCATGTATATTAGGTAGGATTTTGGGTTGTAAGCAACAGATGCTGACTCTGGTTAATTAAAGCAAACAAAAAGACAAGATGGGTGGAGGAGACAGGGGAAATTTACAGAAGAATGTTGAATAGCTCCCCAAATGGAAGAACTACCAGATGCTGAAGATGATGTGAATGAGAGCACCCCTGAATGTCTCTTCAGAGTACAACATTGGAGTCAATCAGCTACTGCTATTTTGAGTGGGGGTTATTAGGCTCAGACTTTCGTTTCAGGCATAGGGAGTCAGATTGCTGTAGTTTGTTTTTGCACCCACCCCTTAGATAAATGCTGAGGATGGAGTACACTTTGATTGACAGTTTCACTGACTTTACATTCAATTGGTGAGGGATGACATTTAAAAAAAAACGAAGTATTTCAGAAAGAGAGGGAAATGGATCATGAATAAACAAGATTAAAAGCTTGTTAGCATGTATTAGTCATGAACTAACACATGACTTGGAATTTTAATTTATAAATAATTCTAACTGATTTTCACCCTTTAGTTAATGAATTCAACATATACTTTTGAAAAAACACAGGCACATGGAGGCTAAATAATATGCTACTAAGAAACTAATGGGTCAATGAAGAAATCAAAGAGGAAATCAAAAAATACCTTAAGACAGATGAAAACAGAAACGCAACAGTGCAAAATCTGTGGAATGCAGGAAAAGCAGTTCCAAGAGGGAACTTTATGGTGATACTGGCCTATCTCAGGGAACAAGAAAAATCTCAAATAAACAATCAAACTTTACACCCAAAGAAACTAGAGAAGTTAGTAGAAAGGAAGAAAATAATAAAGATCAGAGTGGAAACAAGTGAAAAAGAGACTAAAAAAACAATAGAAAAGATCAATGAAACTAAGAGCTGGTTCTTTGAAAATATAAACAAAATTGATAAACCATTAGCCAGATTCATCAAGAAAAAAAAGAGAGGGCTCAAATGAATTAAAATCAGAAATGAAAGAGAAGTTACAACTAACACCACAGAAACACAAAGGATCAGAGGAGATTATTACAAACAATTACACACCAACAAATTGGACAACCTAGAAGAAATTCATAAATTCCTAGACTCATACAATCTTCAAAGACTGAATCAGGAAGAAATAGAAAATCTGAACAGATTTATTATTAGAAATGAAATTGAATCAGCAATCAAAAATCTACCAACAAACAAAAGTCCTGGATCAGACAGCTTCACAGACGAATTCTACCAAACATTTAAAGAAGAGTTAATACCTATCCTTCTCAAACCATTCCAAAAAATTGAAGAGGAAGGATTGCTCCCAAACTCATTCTATGAGGCTAGCATTACCCTGATACCAAAACCAGACAAAGACATCACAAAGAAAGAAAATTAGAGGTCAATATCCCTGAAGAACATAGGTGCAAAAATCCTCAACAAAATATTAGCAAACTAAATTTAACAACACATCAAAAGGATCATACACCATGGTGAAGTGGGATTTATTCAAGGGATGCAAGGATAGTTCCATGTCCTCAAATCAATCAATGTGATACACCACATTAACGAAGCAAAGGATAAAAATCATATGATCATTTCGATAGATGTAGAAAAAGCATTTGACAAAATTCAACATCCATTTATGATAAAAATTCTTAACGAATTGGATATAGAGGGTGCATACCTCAACACAATAAAAGCTGTATATGACAAATCCACAGTCAACATCATACTCAATGGTAAAAAGCTGAAATCTTTTCCTCTAAGAATAGAAACAAGACAAGGATGCCCACTCTCACCACTCTTATTCAACATAGTGTTGGAAATCCTAGCTATAGCAATCAGACAAGAAAAAGAAATAAAGACATTCAAATTGGACAGAAAGAAGTAAAACTGTCATTATTTGCAGACAACATGATTTTGTA